TCCCTACAGCATTTTTTTAGCTGTAGAAATAATTGGAAATTGTTACTATTTAGGCATCTGTGGGGGCCAGGCTTGTATCTTACTTTCACTTGTGGTCTGTAAAACCAAGGAATTTAAATGACTCAAAATTTTTTAAAGCAATTTTTTTCATCTTAGAAACTCGTGTAATAAATGTTTTACTTCGTAAAAGCTGTATTCTAGCCAAAGTAAGTAAACTGTGTTTAAAAAGGTGTATATTTGCATTTTGGTGGAATGTTGCTAGTAAGGCATGAGTTTTTCAAATAGCTGTAAACATTTTTACTCTCTTTGTTCAGAGAAGAAAAAGCATATGGCTTGCAGAACACATTTGCCATCTTAGAAGCCCAGTCAGGTCTCAAGAGGCAGTAGCTTGTATTTCCCAACATTTGTTGCATTTGGCATGAGAGTCCAGTGAAATGTGAGATTAGGCACACATTTACACATCCCAAGAATTTGGAACCTGGTGGTTTAGTGTACCTGATGGCTTGGTTTTATTGTGTTTGGACTATGTTAGTTTCAAATGAAGGACTGATCTCTAGAGAGGGTTGGGCGGGGTTGTGAGGTACGTCTTGTCTGCAGAAGTTTTTGAGGACTGTGCTTTCTGTTATTCAGGTAATTTCCTATACCTATAGGAACTTTGCAGAGTGCCATGCTGTGGTGCACTTTCTTATATACATATATACATGCATATATATATATATATATATTCAGCACTATATGTTGCTGCATTTTGCAGTTGCTTAGGCTGTATGGTTTTATGCTGCTTGCCACATTTCCTATATGGAGGGAAGACATTTCATTTATTCATGATCCTGCTTATTTTGGCTTTTGTCTTGCCAGTTATCCTTTGGTGGGATGTCCTTCCTATCTGCAGTCCCTTGTGCTTGCCTTGTTGCTTTGCAACTTTTTGTTCCTTGGATGTGATCATGTGCAAGTACACATTTTTGGCCCTGTTGTAGTCACATTGCTCACATACATGTGTAAAATAATTATGCACTGTGTTTGGCTACACCATCACAGCATTACAAAATAAAGTATTTTAGTGCACCTATATCTGTGTCAGAACAAACTACTATTAATTACATCTTGATTGATACACTTACGTAATTGTATTTTGAATATTAAACTTCTAGTCAGTTTTCCTTCATGTTTGTATCCTTAGCTTTTCAGTTTCCTCTCCTAGATAGCTCTGATGCTTTCTCACTCAGGCAGGACTCAGGAGTGCTCTGGCACTGTAGTGCCAGGAATGGATGGGCTGACCTCCTTGCTTTGCCTTTGGAGGGGGGACTGGGTGTTACCCAGGCTTTGAAGTTCATCAGACTGGCTGAAAAGTATACATCTTGGACACTCCCACCTTTTAAAAACTTGGCTAAATCTGGGAAAAGAGCTGAGAGGGACGATGAGTGGTGTGATCACATGCACCTCTCTTCCTCTTGTTAGAAATGTCCTGGTAGCTGGCACAGCAAAAATTACTCTTTGGAAGCAGCTGTGAGGACTGCAGGACTAGTAGTATCCTGGAAATACTAAAGGCCCTATGGGAGATTTGGTGCCAGTTTGTAGCCTGCAAAGCAGTCGTGGAGGTGAGGTTTTACCAGGTATGGTAAGATTGCTCTGGTGGCAGTAGTGAAAGAAGGGAACCAGTGCAGTGCTGGTACAGAAAATGTGGATTTAGGGGTCAGTAAAAAAAGCTGGTGTCAGTTTCTTTCCCTGCAAAACCAACCTCTTTTCTCCTCCTCCTAAGCATTTTGATTCAAGCCCAGTGAGCAATAGAATCATAGAATCAGAGAATGGTTTTAGTTGGAAGGGACTTTAAAGATGTTCCAACCCCCCTGCATGGGCAGGGACACCTCCC